AGTTGAAAAAACATTCTTTTTTATGTTTTTGTTGTTGACTGTTGTTCCAATGCGAAAAAGGAAAGGGCAATTATCTCATTAGCGGAAATCGCGCGTGTTTATTCCCTTTTCTTTGCAAAAAATAAATAAAAATAAGACCTCAAAACCTGTCTTATCTTGATGTTTTTGTGAATTTCACTTTGTACAAAAAAAAACAAAAGCATAAGATCGTTCGGCGCTTATGGTCCTTCCTGGGATGCGCCACGCCTTCTAATTCCACTCACAATGTAGTATTACTTGTATGCGATTTGGTCTATTGACCTTTGAGATTCACTCGATGGACAATTAGTATTTTTACCTGCTCTAAGGATAAACTACACATTCATGAATCTCAAAGGAGTGAAAGCTTTCGGAATTCGATTCGTGCTTTGATCAAGAGTCATGCGTATTGGTAAATGGTAAATGGCGCCACACCAGCTTTACTCTATCGCAATTGACTGGCGAAATATAGAAAGAAAATATTTGAAAACTCCAAAGATTTCTTATTTGTCCTTTTAATAGTTCCAGTCGCTGCGAGTAATGGAGACTAAGTGAGCAGGTACTGAAAGTCGAAGGAAAGTAAATAAATACTGTCCGAGAAAAAAACGTGAGCGGGACAGCGCTGTTCTATCAAAAACAGCCGAAAACGCCACAAGACGGCCACAAGGTCGAAGAAGAGAAAACGAACAAAATGAAGGATACTATGAGTGGTCAACAAAACGAAACGAAGTGTTTTGGACCGCGATTTAGCAATCCACGAGTGTCGCACAAGCGCAATCGCAGCCGTGTTGAAGCAGAGCACACCAGCGTTCTTCCAGTTGTAGGCTTTTCCTCTTAATCAGCCCTCTTCCAGCGCGCACACGACGTTCCTCGCGCGGTGAACTAACGAAAGGTGGCGAATATAAGTGCGAAAATCGCGTGTGTAATGAGTGTGAAGTGGTTTGTCTGGAGAGGTGTGTCTGCACACCGATTGCGCAAGTTATAGCACCTGTACGAGACAACTCGCCCATGAAAAGATGTGTGAGTGAACGCGTCTAAAGGCGAAAAAGCCCTGTCTTTACTGCTATCCATTTTGATATATATATATTTGAGAGTTGTGGGTGGAGATGGTGCAGTGGCAGATAGCGCCGCTTTCCACTAGGGCGATCCGCGGATCTGATTTTTCTTCGGCATTCAGAGGCGTGCCCCAAGATCACAATGGTGTGGCTTTTCCACACGAATGCAAATGTATGGGTGCGAAATGGGTTGGCAAGTAAAGAAAAAAGGAAAGCAATCCGTCGAGATGACCTCCGTCTAGAACGCTTAACGCAAGATTTTTTTCTCACTCACCTTCCTTAATCGGCTGTGCTAAGGGAATGAGAGACTAAGCGCGGAGAGGAGAGTATGAGGCGAGAGAGCGCTACAGATGAGAGAGCGCCAGACAACAGCCTGATAAGAGAAAAAAATCTGCAGCTTCAGCAGCTTACTTTGCAAGGCCCAAGCGCTCTTGTCGGTTGGTTTCCGTGCACGGGAACGCCACACTTGTGATTTGTTTCAGGGATCTATACTGCAGACCGAAGGGAGCGTGTCATCAAACGAACCTCTGCCTGGATTGTGCTTTTGCAAGGCACCGAGCGGAAATCTTGTTGTGTGTCATTTTGTTCTGAAAATAGAACAAGAAGGCATTAATGAACGCTTTTTGGAGAATAGCAGCTCATGAAAAACAATGAAATCCTTTCCATGTGAGGAATGGCCAGTGTAGACTGACTACCACGACCATCTCACTGAAAGAGACTCATGCTGAAGAGAGAGAAACGCCGAGAGATACGTTGGCACACGAGAGGGCTCAGACACCACGTGTACTGCGTTTGATGAGAGTGGCAGCATGGCAGCACTGGAGCATGGCCTTAGCGCCGTTACTCTGGCACTTTTGAGTCGCAACAGTGTCGCGCCTCCTACGCTCGGAGACCCCTCCATTTCGATATAGGAAGGACTACTTCCCAACTTGTGGCTTCAAATATCACTACGATTCTTATAAAAGGCAGATTACAGGGTTAATTTCAGAAAGGGATTGCTCAACGCTGAATGCTTCGTCTTTTTCAGTTCTCGGAAGTAGTGTTAGCCAATGAAGTACATTGAGTGAGAAGAACATTCAACGAGTGTAGTGAGGGCGTGCTTGTATGCGGGGGGGGGGAGGACTCATGTGAACTGTTCTTTCTTCCTATTCAGGGAAAACAGTTCACGTGAGTTGCAGACAACGGAATGCGTGAAGCTGAAACCTGTCAAAAACACTGTACAGAGAGTAATTGGATCCAAACATGGGAGCCCCTGTTCACAGTAGCGCTGGTCACCAACACCAGAACAGACCGAAATAAGTCTTCATTTGCCCGTTGTCGCTATTTATGTGGACTAGCCTGAAGGAATGATGGAAAGAGTTTTCACGCTGCATCCCTTATGAGGAGTAATCTGAACGATTTAGTGACGCATGAAGGCTCTGAATGGATGCTCATGGGCACTTGGCGCAAGAGCTATATTAGGCATCGAGTTTGTCCTCTATCTTTAGAGGACCGCATCTAGATCTGAAACTAGCAATTAAGCAAGTAGAAACCTCAAGCGCAATAGTCCGTAGAGCCGTCAGCAAAGAGGGTGTGTCCTTTCCTCTTGATGATTGATTGACCGACGTGGGTATCGACATTTTTCCAGGTGAAACGTGATTCCGTGGTTCTCACATGAAGGATCCTGATGACGTCCTCAGCAATGACGATATGCAGATGCTACACCCAGGGCTTGGATAGGGTCCATGGATAATCATCAAATCCTTCTTGCTACGCAACCATGACATTACCTGATTTACCCATCCCTGGTAAGATTCCTCGGCGGGAACCTAGTTCGAATATGACCAAATTAGCTGCCTTATCACTCACTCACTTCATTTTGCGGACGGACACACATACATACATACATACATACATACACACATACAGACATACAAACCGACACACAAAGTTAGCGCTTTATAAAATAGAAGGATTTCTCGTACAGAAACCTGACCTTTGCTGACGGAAAGGCATTCTTCAATGAACTTGAATGAGACCTGCACCGTACATGAACTAGAGCTTTCTAACGCGATTACAAACATCTAGGCTAAAAACTGCAAAATGGACCTGCCCCAGAGCTGAGTTGTGAGTCAGGTTAAAGTTGTTTGGCTTCCAAATTAAGCGTCTATGTATTGGACGCGTCGCTAGTCTCCGTAACTTCATCAGTCCCGTGGAGCAGTGGAGTGCCTTTGCACTCCAGCAGGAAGAGAACTTTTGACCTTTCGGGTGGGAAGCGGGGTCACTATCGCTACTCCGTGGCGACATTGAAGCCTGGAATATAGCACGATTCATATACAGCTGCTTTATTCTAGCCAACTTTGACTGCTCACAACTTCCTTGGCAGCTTCATTTTGCAGTTTTAGCTTCCATATTTGTAATCAGCGTTTGAAACTCTGTCGATGTATCTGGGTCAAATTCGAAGTTCCATGGCAACTTGAATGCCTGGTGAGAACGCATTACCGTAACCAGAGCGGCATTTGAAGGTGGTGCTAGCAGACAACGGAGGAAGGAAACATTGCACGAAGGACAATAATTTAGGCTTCTCAATCACAGCAAGGAACAGAGCCATTTATGTCTTCCATCAAACAAAGTTTATTGTCCACTCCACCCCTCTGCTAACAGAAGGCTTGGAGCAGTCTTATTTTGTTGGTTGATTTTGCTGGAAGGTTATCGGACATTCGAAGAAGGTGGGTTTTTTCTCCTATTAACAGGTGGAACATTTGCGAAGTCGTTGATAGTTAACAGCTATCATTGCTCAAGAAATTCTCAATTCAAAAGCGAAGAAAGAGTCCTTTGAAAAATCTTCTGTGCTTGTTGAATATTAATGCAAAGTCAGGTTTGAAGAGCAGCTACTCTGTGTATTGGCACGGAAGTGGTATAGTGACAAGTGGGGGTGCTTACCACGCGAGCGGTCCGGGGATCAAATTTCTGGGTCGTGAGTCGCCCGGGCCAACTAAGCCTTCCTTTCCGTCGGGGACGGAAAATCGGTACCACACTTGTCCGCAAGTCATTGCATTGACCATTCGCATTCAAATGGCCACTACGATTCTGGACGGAATTGGAATGCGTGGCGCACTCCAGAACAGGATGGAATGCTTATCCTTCATGCTCAGTCTGTGTATTTAGCGGTTATTCGATTCAAACTCATGTAGAAACTTAGATTACTGTAGAAAATGCCTTCCCTCGAGAACCATCCTACAAAACAAACCAGGGTATCAATAACATTTTTGCTGACTCCCTGTTTCAGGTAAATGATGAACGTTCCGCCACGAGATCACGTTCCTAGTGACAGAACCTAGTTAAAATTTAGCAGTACTGGAATATTACCATTTGACCCCTTGAATCATTTTGATGGTACTACGAGCGGCACACCTTTTCTGAAGCAGATGCAAGAGCTACAGTTATAGTTCACGGACCTTAGTTAAATTCATTCTCGATGTGAACCTACCCACTTCAAATAAGGGCAGTGATCACGACGGTTAGGACGGTTAGTCAGTGTTGAACCTCCCAAGACCAACCCTCAAGAGTTGAGCGATCACGTGGCCCCGAATAGGACTCACTCCTCTTTGGAGTCATAGTAGAACTTCAATGCAGTTTAGCCCATAGGACTCCTTAGTGCTAGCCGTTGTAAAAGCCAGCGTCTGTATCTTCCCAGACAAATCTGTTACCAATCAGTCTGTTTATTCGAGCCTGGTGGGATGGAAGCTTAGTTGGCCTGGACGACGCACGATCCAAAATTTCATCTCCGGAATGCGTGCGTGCTAAACAGTGTCACTTGCCTCTACACCACTCTCTCTAGCAATATCAGAACAATATAACAGCCTTTGTTCTTTTCAGGCCTCCCAGTTTACGCAACACCGTTCGAGAACTCCTCGGTCGGTGTAGATCGGACAGCAAAAAATCATAATGGTGTAGTATGTACATCAAGGGAATGCGTTACAATAGCAGGTTTTTTGGCCGGAAACCTCAACGATAAGGTTCGTACAGGTGTTATCCGCTTCTGAAGGACTCGTATCTAGCTTCGGTGTCCGTTTTTAGGTCGACCCATGTGATGACTTCTACGAGTTTGCCTGTGGCAATTACGGCCTAAATCGGAATCTTCCAGCTAACAAGCCACTTCGGCATACGATTAGTGATGTACAAAGTAGGCTCAATAAACAAGTGAAGAGTATACTTCAGGTACTTATTCAATGAATTTTAATTCTAAATAGATTCTATTCATACCACCAATACGTTTGGAATGGAATTACATGTGGGAGGTGGGGGGGGGGAAAACCGACAGGAAGCCCGTCGCGGGGCGAAAGGCAGGGACCAGACGTGAGGCGAAAGCAGGGAATCAGGACGTGTCACGACGGGCAGGTCTCGCGCGTACTGATATGGTTGAATTCAATGTCATATTAGGAATGTACCGAGTACGTGTAGGGTCCGACATCGCCGCACTGGCAACTTCTTAGTGGAGCCATCTTGCGTCTCTGATTTTCTTGCTGCGCGACGGCTTTCTTGTCCGGACCCATATGGAGAGGTTCCTGCTCCACCACCATTCTTACAAAAGCGCCGCCATCTCGGTAGCCCCATCACACCATCGGTGACCAGTGAGGTTCAGTTGATGGTGCACCGCCAAGTATCCTTACCCTTAAATGGAGCATATTTTAGCATAATTGGTTACCAGCATACACCCCGGTGCACAATAGATTGCACCCTATAAAAACTTAGTTTTTGAGAGAGGCCGAAACTTTTATTGATTCTGCTGTTGATATATTTCCTGGGGAAGTAGATAAATAATGTTGACACAATATTCAGTTAGACACACTGTCTTTGAAAAATTTTAGAGTGAAATATTGATTTTTTTGGCGGTGCACAATAGATTGGACGATTTGAGATATTCCATTTTTCCGACTTTTTTTGCCTGCTTTTTAAGTTTGCATGTACTCACGTATTATGTGAAGTATACGCGTTTCACAAACGAAGACTGGATTCGAAGTGAAGCGTAACTTCTTCTTGACAAGGGTGATCTCCAAATCTCTAAGGAACCCTTCATTCCCAGGAGTACAGTTGCAACTGTGATCAAGAATCATTCTCAAACTGTTCTTAAGAACAAGGTGGTACAGAAGTCAGTTGTTCCTGAGCGCGGCAGGCGCTGCTTGATTAATTTGGCATTGAGTTCCACAAAGGTTGCCTATGAATCGGTTGTCGCTTGCGGGATTGTCGTTTTGAAATGGACCGTGTCTCGTATGTTGAAAATATCGGACCACATAATTCGACAAAAAATAAAGCCGACACTACGCCTGACTCAATATCGTCGACATGAGCGGCTCCCTCTTGCGAGGATTGAGAATAACAGAAATTGGGCAGCGGAGTGTTCTGGGCACACTTCCAGCTTTATACTAAATTTAAATTTCTCATTTCTATTTTCCCTACGGTAATTTCTTTCGATGACATTTTGGTCGGCGGAGATGAGTCGTGCTAACGGCACTCGAACTGGCGCTCTTGCAGAAGTGAACCACTACTGGTGCCTCGAAGCAACATCGGTGCCTTCTCCTAAATGGTTTGGCTGGGCATCCTCTAGTGATGGTAGCCTTGAGATTCATTTTGATTCTTGTGAATGAGAAGCCATAACTATCAGTCACTTCTCAACAACACGTTGGTACCATTCGTTTCTTGAGACTTCAACAAACACTTCATCTTCGTGCAAAAGAACGCTTCAAACCACACTCCGTGAAGCACTCTGTCCCACTTTCAATCTAACAACAACCCATTATTTTCATCGCCGGTATGTAATTCTGATACAAACCCTATCGGGAATACATAGGGTATACTGACGCGTAAGATGGGAAAGCGTATGACAATGTTCAGCCGCTAAGAAATACCATTACAAAGGAGTGGAAAACTCTACCGCCTCTGCTGCATAGAATGCGCTGATTCAAAATCTGATTTCAGTCCCAAGCTCACTGAGAAGAAGGAACGCTGCCCTCATACTTAGGTGGGAGGAGCAGACTTTAGGTCTTGTTTTATGATCCACAATACATATCGTCCAATCTATTATGCACCGGCCTCAAAAAGTGAAAAATTGTTGTCACAAACTTTAAAAAAGTCGTAATGTCAAATAAGTATCACAGATATTATTCCTTCGTCTATTTCTAAACTATAGTATAGGCAGAAGCAACAAAAGTTTCCGGCTCTCAAGAAAATTAGGTTTTCTATGGGGTGCAATCTATTGTGCACCGCGGTGTATTACCCATTACCATCAAGTGTTGCTGGTCATTCTTAGAACTTTTCGAAGGCAGTGATCACGTTGCTTGTTAGACGGTGCGGATCTGGTAACGTCATTTAACATCACTGGTGGACTGTACCCCTCAGTTTGCTGGGAGGTGTGGTTAGGGCCGCCTTTTGACGCCCTTTTACCAACTGCCTTCATCGACGTCACCAAACTGCGACACCCTTCAACCACTGCGACCAGTGCCTTTAAGTTTGGTAATCCATCCCAAAATCGGAAAGGATTACGGAATGAGAATGGTGAAAGAGGTTTAAGGTGACGACTACTCATTACAGGAATATTTTTAGATGCCAATCTTGGACACGGAATCGAAGTGGGATCGACTAGCCAAGGGCTACTATCAGAAGTGCCTTGATGAAGGTTCGCTGCCATTGATTTTTCGTTGAGAAGGGATATCTCTGTGTAAAACCGTGCTATTTCAGACGAACTAGAGCGGACTGGCTTAACTGCCATCAAAGAGATCGTTGACTGGGTCGGAGGCTGGCCAACGCTTCAAGGTGATTGCCGCACTAAAAGACAAAGCGAGTAATTTGCAGGAAGCAATTGGAGAGAATGGAACTACTCATGGGAGCACCAACTGGCGTTGTTGATGAATCGAACCGGTGTGAATGCCGTCATACTGGAATTGGCCGTCACTTATGCATACCCCCCCGCCATAACAGCTCCAATAGCGTAATTGAGGTTGTCAGCTTTTTGCAGTTAGAGAGTTGAATCTGCGAGCTTTCCTTCCAAAATGCAAAGAACGTCTGTTGTCGGTTCTCTGGGACTTTCCCTGGCGGGAACCCTGCTTTTTCTTTTGGTCTTTTCGTATATTATTGATACACCCACTATCTGTAAGCCAAAGTAGAACTACCTTAACAATGAATTCATAATAATCCTTCAAGTACCTCTACTTTGTCAAGAAATATGCCATGAAACCAAGGGGTGGTAGTGATAGCAAACGAGGTCGCTTTTGAGGAGCTTTGTGACGATTTTGGGGGAAGCTTCATGAAAGAGGCAAAAAGTAGGAAAAATAGAAAAAATTGAAGGATTCTCCGTTTCTTTGTAATTTTTTCGTCCACCTCCACCTCTTCCGTTATTGACGACCGTTTTATAGAGAAAAAGTGGGACAGAGTTGGAGCTTCATCGTCGACTTGGTCTCAGAGATCCAAAATTCAGAACCAAATATGAAGAGAAAGAGCCTGATGGGAGGGTGTGATGCGGGGCACGGGTAGGCTGGTCGTATGAGCGAGTACTCCTGAAAGCTGATTATGGTGATGGGGTAGGGGGCGGTGTTACAAGAAATCTCGTAAAGCGGGACAACCGATAAATTGTCTGCGCACGCCCTGGTTGATCTTCTGTATGCCAATCTAATTTTCTATAGATGGCGTAGAAAGACATAGCTAAACGCATAAGCAAAAATGCCGAGCATTAGTTGGTGGAACGCAGTCCCAACCCAGATAAAGAAACGTTTTACACTGTATAAAGATCTTAGAACCTCTCGTGTCGTGCTACTTTTTGGCAATTCCACCTCACCATCAGCAGTACATATCCCACTTTCGCCCGCGCAGAGAACTCGCTTGGATTGGGATCAATGTATAGAATCAAAAATAGCGGCCCGTTTGCTGATTAGTCCAACCCCTCCGACTAGCGGGGAATGATTGTCGGACATTGATCGGCACATTTTTTAACGCACCCTCGCTGTTATTTTAATCTGCAAATATTAATCGGCTAATTTGACTAGACTGGGGCGGATAACCTACCTCAAGCGCAAATCGTATGCGCTCTAGTCTCAGTTTTATTTTCATGACATATTCAGTCCTTCGATCGATCGAGGAGTTCGCGTTTGCAGTTTAGGGAGAGGGGCGTAGTTGGGGTTGAGCAAGATTAATTATCTGTGGGAAAAGAGCGAGCAAGGGTTGTGAGAAGGGGTGCTTTTGAGTTTTTCGATGATTTTGGCAAAAATTTCACGGAAGTAACATGAATTACGAAGCAAAATTTTTAGATTTGCTGCTTCACTGTATTACGTTCCCCTCCGCTCGATGGAGGTTTTCGGAGGAAAAACTGGGCGGAGTTGGCTGTGTCGACTGATCTCAGAACAAATACTTTAAAAATGCTGTAGAAACAGCCATGATGGCGAGCGTAGAGGTTGGGGTAGGGGAGTCGTATTGGGGAAGCCTCCTAAGATTGATGGTGGGAGGGAGAGGGGCTCGCATAGATACTCCCCCAATGAGGAAGAGGGTCGCAAAATTTTTGGACAGTGCGAACGCGATGGTTGCCCCTGTATTCACATTCCTGCGAAATATCTTGTGCCATGTCTACGCGCAGTGTCTATCAGTCAAACCCTAACTCCAATCTAGCCCAGGTCAACCTAGTTTTTTCATCCATCTGAGGCCGGTTGATTAATACCATATTTGTTTGACAACTACACTCACTTGTAAGCCGTTTTGCCCCTCGTGCCAATGTATAAACCAAATGACTCGATCCACTCCAAGTGCTTCCTCCTCTCAACTTTTGATTTACATTGCATTTAGCTCGACCAACCGAAATGGGGTGTTGGTTCTCGTTGGCCGTATCTGATGGGTCCAGATGATCCAATGCTGAAGAACTACACCCATCTGATGACACTCACAGCTATCGCCCTTGGTGAGTTCAAAACGCTCATATAACATGTTGTTAACAAATTTTCACGGTTTTTCCCCCAGTCTCAGGTGTTCTGCGCTAGAGGCTCTTAAGACAGCATAGCTTTATCTAGTAGCTTCCATATTGACCTTGTTGTTCTATAAGACCCGAGTCTTTTTATAGGACACCAGGAAACAAATTAGGCTCACCCCCCCACGTGTCTTAACGACTCTAAACTCATAAGCGGTGTCAACCTAATGGGTAACCAGTGACTCAAGCAATAGGTATAGCTATACGCTCCACGCTTGAGAATCTTCATCCGTTCACCCATGTGTAGCCTCAGAGAAACGAGCATCCCAGGTTGAGCTTCTAATTGCACGTAGGACGTGCATAAACTTGATCTGGCCACCTATCATATACAGATGGTTCGCTTTTCTTCATGTCTCATTAGATAGACCTCTAGCGGCTACATGTGTCCCATAAATTATGTAATTAGGCAGAGTAAGGCTCATTCAGGCTTAATGCTAGGCAATATGTAATAAGAAGCGGCTTCGCTGACACAGATGATTGGTCTCGAACTTGGGGTTGTGCACGTTTGTGCTGATCGCAGTTCAGAATGCCACTGACGCGCGATGTGATGACGCTTGTTAGCACGCTTGCTCTTTACACTGGAGCGGTTTTTACCTTCTGCCAACGCGGCAAAAATCGAAACGTCAGCAAATCTTGGTAGAAATTGTTCCAACCGCAGCTTCAACCCTCTATGTACCCTACACATCCGACAACCAGGTATTATATCTGCAGTGCGGGCCAGGCAACATAAATGACGACGAACTCCGCAAAAATCTATAAGTGATGGTTACAGTGAGGACTGATACCTAATATGTATA